GTACTGTCGTGTTGGCTTCGGGAAGGACATTGAGGTCGCTGAAGCCCAGCGTGCTCGCAGGAAGGGCCTGAGGAGAATCAGCACCTGGAAGAGTCAACGAAAATCTCAAGCTGTAGTGGATTAGTCTGGGCTGCTACAGAAGTGAAACAGACTCTTGATTAGAAGAAGACCAGAGTGGATTGAACAACCTCTTCAGGATTGGGGGGTCTTATAAATCAAGAGTCTACATTGCCCTTTATCCAGGCATGTAGCCAATACGGCTCAAAGCTGAAGAACTTGAGGTTTGTTTGTTGATTGATGCCAACAACCATGCAGCAATGCAACTTGAGTGAATTGAGGTGTAGGCGGCACAAAAGCACGTGACTGCCATCGATTTGATGTGTATTGCATACTTGTAGCGTGTATAGTAGTTTTTCATTTTTTTGGTGTATAGTATTGGCCTCAAGTAAGACGGCCGATCCTCCAATCCGACGAATGATCAAAGGAGGGGTTTAGTATTCCCCAGACACGACCTGTAGAAAGGGACTGCCATGACGGACTGCCGATCTACGGTGGGGTGGTTGAAGTCGGGGGTCTGGTGCCAGGGCGGCAGTCCAGCCTGGCAGTCGTGTCCGGTCGTGTCTGGGTTAAACACTACGCAACTCAGTTGCGGGTACCCTTCGATCCAACGGGTGGGCGAAACGCCGCAGGCGGCGAACGCGTTTGGCACGCCGCAACTGCACGGGGGCGAAACGCAGCTGAAGAAACACGTGAGGGGAGAGGTAGAGCTTTCAAAAGGGGTCAGAAGATGTTTAGAGAAAACAACTATATAAAAGCTTGGATGCTAAACCCAAATGATAGAAGTTTGTCCAGACAACATATGGAAAGTCCAGAAAAGTAGACTCATGTAAACATTTCAATTGAAACATGGCAGAACATTTGGGAAACCCGAACACCTATAGGAGAAGTATAGGAGAATCCCCCAGTTTCGGGATGTCACCGTCCTGTCTCGGCTCACCGGCCCAGTTTTGTCGCACGCGCTCTTTGAGACGTGAGCACAACTGCCCAATGGAAATCACACCGTGCACCTTCAGCGCCCAACACACACGCAGCGTGTCAGACTCGCCTTGAGCGCACTGCACCTCACGCTATTCAGACGCAGATGGCGCCGCGCTGCACTTCAGATCATCACATCACACACGATGGCTTCAACTTCGACCATGCGCGATGCAACTCAGCGATCTCGTCACACATGGTCTTTGGCGATGGCTTCGGTCACCACCTCGCCACGATGGTCAAAACAAACATCCAATGATTCTAGGTTCAAACAAAGCAAGATTTCTATACCAGCACCCGACTTCACAGGTTACCACCTGCCACTTTTAAGTCTGCAAAAGCCACCAGAGGAGACCTGTCGGAAGTGATTGGTGCCAAATTGCACCTCTGCAGAGATCCTTCAGGGGCCATTCCAAACTTTGCTTGAGCACCTTTGAGCACCTTGATCATGGAAGACCCAAGAACGACACTCCTGGACCGCAGTCTTTCCAAGAAAGACCACCATATTCCGATGCGAGAGAGAGAGAGAGAGAGAGCGAGCGACCTGCGATTCGATTGCGCGAGGCAAGCGCTTCGGCATGTCGCACGACGCTGTGGTAAAGATAATGCTTGCAGCAATTCCAATGGTTGGTGGTTGGCAGATGTTGGCAGATGTTGGCGCAGTTCTTTTAGGTGTCAATCAACAACAAGCCAAAAGACTGCGTGACTGCCATGTCAAAGACTGATGGCAGCAATGCGCAGGTCAGCATGCTCCCTGAAATCCTCAGGCAACATCCTGGAAGACGAGGTGTGCAAAAGAGCTGTACTTTGCTTATCTTTATCATTGGCTATTTGGGTTGATCATTGGGTCAAGAGGGAGCGAGCTGACCCTCCAATGCCCCGTACCGAAGGTACATTTTCCCCGAGCCTTGGAGGAATGCCTGAACACTTCAAGTGCCCATGATTGGTGTGGCCGTAGCTGTGTAGCTCGCATGGAAGTGGTCTGCAGGCTTGTGAAAGCCGAACAAAGGAAGCGCCATGAGGCAAAATGGGTCTCGAATTTGCCATGTACCCACCAAGGCAGCCAGTGTTGCTAAGCTGACAGTACTTGTTTTGGAGTTTAGCATCAAACATAACGAGGAAACATATTGTAGTCTTTGTTTTTGCGCCTCATCATAGGGAACTTCCAAATTGTACTATATAATGACTCGTTGTTTTTGACATGTCTGTGCTGTGTGCACAGGTGCACAGAAGTAGCCATGAAGCGAAACACATGCAACGTACAAATCCAACCAACTTTGACACCGGAGCAAGCTAGAAAGTTGCCCAAAGCGAAGACACCAGAGCAAAGCCATAAAAAAGATTGGCTGCTTCATATCAGGGCAACCAAGAGTTGGATGAAGGATCAGCTAAGTGGATCACAACCGGATTTCTGGAGTTCCGGAGACGTACGCATCGGGTTGGCATCGCTGGCCGTACGCTCTTCTGTCTCCCATTTGGAGCGGAGAACGGGGGTGGCCAGTCACTTCAGAGCGGTCAAGAGCCCGAGTGGTGACAAGGTGGCGATGCGGAGTGCTTTGTGGGTGTTGGTCTGGTGTTGTGGTTGTTGTGGTGGTGTGGTCAACACGTTGATTTGCGGTGTCTTGCTGAATTTTGTTCGTCATGCCAGTTGGTTTGGCTTCCAGCTGCAGGCTTTCTTCTTGGGTGTGAGCAATATGAGGACATGGAAGACAAACCAAAGCTATGAGGCAAACAACATTGTGTGTCACAAACAACCAGCCTTGCAGAGTCCGCCTTCAAGACATGCCCGGTTCGAGCTCACACTTGACACAGGCGGGGTTTGCGAGGCAAAGCGAGACATGCGAGTAGCTGCTGAGAGTGGTGGCTCGGAGTTTTCTTCTCATCGCTGTTGAAACCTGTGGTTGGTGCGGTGTGAGTCTCGACACTTCGAGAACTTCTGGGAGTTCCAACTTTAGTACGTTCAAGTGCAATTTCCATTGTTTGGACACAGTGGCCATGGATTGCCTAATATGCGGAGTTGAGATAAAAAAGGCTCATATCTAGTTGGGATGCCATATGCTTCTGCACAATTGCCACAAAACAAATATGATCTCTCCAGCACTGTTGGAATGATTGTCAGGTTACCTATTGACGGTAAGGTAGGTCTGGTATAGGTGAGTTACTCTTGGACTGCTGTTCAGCTGTGTCTTGGTAACTAATGATCATGATACACCACACGTATGCCATTTTGGCTAGAGTGGTGATCACCCTGGCTATTTTTGAGGGCGCGTGAGCTCTTGGTGGGTTCTGTTGACTAGGGCCTGGGTGATCACTAAGGTTTAACTAGGCTAGCTCCTACCGCAGCCATGTCGGACATGCATATGGCTCCCTTTTTGCGCCAGCAAGCGATCGCGGTGAACCGTGTCGTTCGGCCAGAGGACTCAGTCAGCAACGTGAGCTTTTCTAGTTGGACTCGTGTGGCTGATCATGTTGAGAAAGATGACTTGGAGTTGCCTCCATCTGATCTAGAGCTGCCCCATGTCGTAGATCTTGACAACAAAGTGAAGGTTGGTCAGCCGGATCCGGTTCAGAATCGGAGCATTCCAACAGTGGCTCAAGCTCAGCCAGCCACACCACGACCAGGACAGGATCCTGTCCCAAAGTCTGCACCAGCCTCAAGCTCAGGAACGATGGCAGATCAGCAGACAGCTGCGCCGGCCGTGGCTCCTCAACCGCCAGTGTCGAAGGCAGCTCCAGCAACACAAGCTGCTCAGAATTTGCTTGCTGGAACCAACCCTCAATATGGATCCAGGAAGCTGCAGAAGCAAGCCGCTCGGGCAGCCAGGAAAGGAGCTCGTGGTCTTCGATTTGGCCAGCTGGGCGGGCTCCACAACGCGCTCAGCAATGTGCTCCCTCCCTACCTCAGCCAAGTCGGATCGGGCGGCGGCGAGAGGTCGGTGCTGGTGGTTGACACAAGGGACCAAAGGATCTCTAGTCCCTTCCAGGGTTGGCTCCTAGACGAGATATTGATCAATGCGCAGGCAGGAGTCAACGTGCTCTCGGACGCTCGTCAAGTGCGCAGTCCAAGCACGGGCTACCACATGAACCTGTTCTACATGAGGACCCTGGAAGGCAAGAAGTTGATCATCGTGGGATCCATGACATCTTACGGATCCGTGCCATGTGGCAGGTGGGACTCCCAGACTGGGGAGGTTTTGGCTCACCAGGCTTTTCAGCCCTTCCGGTGGCCCATCATGAGGGACGATTCAGCGACCTGGGTCGACCTGAAAGTGAAGATCGAAGGTGCGCTCCTCCTTCACCTCGAGCTGCGGGGGTACCGGTCCGATCAGGATATGACGGTACAATTGAACTACATCAACGATGCGATCGTCGTGGCGCTCGAAGAGGTGTTGTTCATTCCCTCGTGCACGGTGGTGATCTTCCAAGGGTGGAGAGTTTGCGCCGTCTCGTTCGAGGTCGGTGGTCAGCTGTATGCTTGTGGCGAGGGGGGGGCAGTTCTGGCCTTAGACTTTCCTCTTTGCCACTTTGAAATTCGGCTGACGGCTGACTCGCTGGGCCTGGACGCAGATCGTTTAGAGTTCAGGTTCACTTCAGCTCAGGACAGACTCAATGTGGCATGTGGCACGCTCGCTGTCCCAGCGACTTGGCTGGTGGTGTCCCGAGTGTCGGGGCCTATGCTCGTGAAGAACGCTCGGTGGTGTCGAGATCACTATGCACGAGTTGAAGGACCTGATCAAGTGATGCAATTGTCCCAGATTGCGGGGATCCACGCACACTGGACAGCTGGGGTAACAGCTGACTCGATCGAGGACACTGGGCCGAGGATCGGTGCTGTAGATGTGAGCTCTCACGCCGACAATCTACACCTGACGTGCGAGTCCCCCCTGTTCAAGGCCGAGAAGAAGATCGTGGCGAGGGAGGCGATCGCCCTCCAATACCACGACCCGGCCACTGAGCGGGCGGCAATGATCCTGCCCCCAGCTGCCGGAACTCCTGGGGTGGCGGTCGCGCAGTCCAAGTGGGAGCCGGTGCGAGATCTCGCTGGGCCGAGGGATTCTTCGGCAGTGATCGTGGGCTCCGCAATGAAGGGCGGCATGTCGCTGACTTCTCCGGGCCAGGCAGCTAGCTCGATGGATCCGAACGCGCAGCTGCTCTTTGCGCCAAGGCGCTCGCTCGAGCAAAGGAGGGGTGAGCAGCTCGCTGATGCAGCTGTGACACCACAGTTCTTTGTTGAGCAGACTCGTGCCGTGATGAGCGCGCTGCCGAGTCAAAGCGCTCCTCGTGTTCAGCGCCCATCCACTATGACGATCACTCCAGCCACGGCTGAGCCAGGAGTGCCTACGTCCTTTGGACCGGCCGCCGAGGAAGTGATCGCAGATGTTTGACTCCTGTGATCACGTTTGCTTTTTATGATCTAATTGCCCAGGAGGGCGCTTGCGTCGTTCGATTTGGCACAGAGACGGTCGATCGGCGCCACGAGAGGTCGGAAGAAATGAGCTTTTGGTTGGTCAGGGTTTTGGGATCAATTGCTGTGACTCATTTTTCTTTTCCGCTCTGAGCAGCGTCGTTCGATCGCGTGTGCATGAGTTGAGGGTTGACTTGATCAAGGGCCCCTAACTCACGAACATGCGCATCGTGTTGCGGCCCAGGCTCATGCCAAACCTGTTCAGTCGCGGGAGCTCGGAGTGCTGTGTCTGAGTCTGCAACGGGCCCTGCTCTAGCGGTTCAAGCTCGATGCATGGGTCCCACTTGGCTCTAACCAGCGCTCTAGAGTGGTAGCAGTGTTGAGTCATTTCCCTTTTTGAGTTCGATTGACCGAAACGTGTCAGCATGTTCACGCTCGTGTTTGCTGTATGCTTGAGTCGGTCGTTGCACTCTTCGTAGTTCAACTAACGGGGGTTGTTCAACACGTGTTCACTCTGTGGCCTTCTGTTCACGTCCTGGTGCAAACCACTCGTGTCGATCGATGGCGGCAACTTGAGGTTTGGACGGGGTGAACTATTGGTCACGGCTCCCAAGACCCGCGCGTGAGCTCGAGCGCTGGTGGGTTCAGAGGCACCTAGCTTCTGAGTCTGGGCTCGGTTCATGCCGGTCGGGGGGGGGGTGATAATATATAGAGATCGCTCGAGTGATGGAAGATTTTGAGTGTGTTTGATCAATTTAGATGGCTCAAACAACTGATAGATGGGGTCTCGAAAGTCCTCGCTCTTCCCATTTTCTCAGCTCGCTTTTCGGATGCGCTCGTGAAGTCGCCGCTAGCGAATTTGGCATTGGTTGCATCCATAGAGGTTCAATCTGGGGCTGAGTTTGTCCAGAAAATCTCAGAATGGGCTTCGGCAATGGACAGCTCGGTCGCTGAAGCTCTGTTGGCTGAACCAGCGATGCTTGATCAGTTTTGGGGTGTGGCTAGAGCGATCGAGAAGATGTTCTTTGAGTCGACCACAACCCAGCTCGGGTTTGGGTTGTGCGAGCGAGCCCAAGCTCACAGAGCTCTCTCGGACGCAGACGTGCTGAGGAAACGGGCAGCGATCCAAGCACTTGTTCAGAAACCGACGAAGGTGCCCAGAAAACTGAAGACGGATCCGTCGGTCGCTTCGGGTTCGACACCCCTCTTGGACATGGAACAGGCCGAGAGGCATAGGTGGGCAGCTCGCTTAGAGGCGATCGGTCGCAGAGCTGGGAATTGGGCGAAACTGTTCGAGCCAAAGTCGGACGACCAGGAGTTGACACCGACTGAAACAGCGAAACTCAGGCAGCTCGTTCTGACTTCGGGAGCACACCGGACCATGTCGGCTCACGTTCGCATGTGGGAACGCTGGGAGCTTTGGGCCGCATCGGTAGGGTTGTCCCTCTACCCCCTTTCGCTCGACAAGGTGCTCAAGTACTGCCTTTGGCTAGACCAACATGAGTGTGGGCCCACGGTCGTTCCTTCGGTTCGCTCCTCGATCAGGTGGGTCAGCTCGCGGCTCGCAATTGAGTGTCCTGATCTGGACGATGCGAAGCTCGTGGCACTCCAGAAGGAGGTAGTGCTGAATCGAGCCACCACGCTCAAAGAAGCGGTTCCGGTTCCGATGGAGGTCGTTCGATGCATGGAACTTTATGTTGCAGCTAACGACGTTCCGGATGCCGCTCGGTTGTTTGTTTGGTGGTGGTTGTGTTTGATCTACGCCTCCCTTCGTTTCGACGATGGAATCCATGTCTCCCCCAAAGAGCTTTCGTTTACGGATGATGGGTTGTTTGGGGTGAGTTGGCAGACCAAGGTCGAACGTAAGCGTAGGGGGACGAAATTCGTTGTGCCGATCGTCAGTTTATCGGGGGTGGAGTGGCTCGCGATCGGGTGGGAACTTTTTGATGCTCCCTCGCTCGATCGAGACTTTTGGATGCCAGACCTGAACTCTCGTGAAGAGTTTCGGAATCAGCCTCCCGAGCATGCACGATCGGTGCAATGGTTAAAGGTGCTCTCAAGGGCGGCTCTCGAGCGTTTTGTGCCGGCACGAAACTTTCCCGCTGGCAAAGTGCGGGAGTGGGCCGCCACGATCGGGAAGTTCACTGCTCATTCGGCCAGAGTCACAATGCTTGACGCGGCCGTCCATGCGGGTCGATCGACGGAAGAAATTGGCCTCCAGGCCAATTGGAAGAACCCTGGACCCCTGGTTTTGAAGTATACTCGTAATCGCTCGTCGGTCCCCGCTAACATGGTGCAGGAACTCGTTCGGGAAATGCTGGCTCTTGAGCACCCCCACCAAGAGTGCGAGGAGGTCTTTTTAGACACCCCGGAGGCTCTCTCGATGGGTTGCCCCGAGTTTTTCCTCAAACAACCGGCTCCTGGTTCCTATTACGACTATAGGTATCATTGTTCCCATGAAACCGACCAGGAGCGTACGGCCTGCAATAAGTTTTTGCTGGAAGAATGTTGCTCAATGGGCACCGTTCTGCCAGACCTCAGCGTTTTCTGTAAGGCTTGCTCAAGAGCACGCCCTGAGATCGCTGCCAGTTTCGACCCCTGACGTGTTCACTCGAAGTGTGTCAAAAAGTGATGGCCCGCGAACGACCAGCTTGGCAGAGTTCAGTTTCAAGGCTCGCGCCGGCCGCTCGGTCGCTCTCAGGGCTGCTCCTTTCTTTTTCGTGACATGTGGGAGTTCTCTTGTTCAAGACCAGGAACCACCTTGTTTTTCCGGCTAGCCATGGTGAATCGCACCACCTACACAGATGCTGATCACACGCCCGACCTGCCCTTGCGCCAGATCTTTGGGCGCCAAAGGGTTCCGCCGGATCTGTGTAAGACAGTGGCTGACGCTCGTCTGTTGACGGTCGAGACGTTCGCCATGTTGGGAGATACGATCGCGGCAGTGAAGCAAACCCTCAAAGCCATGATCACTGACCCGTTACAATTCGGGCCGGATGGACCAGCTCAGGAACTAGCTCTCACCACCCTAGCCGCGGTGTGGAAGACATGTTCTACCATGCAGGACCATTTTGCCGCTCGGCGGGCCAAGATGGAAGAGGATCCGTCCAAAGTCCCGGAAATCCCGGGCGAGGATCACGCAGAGTTTCGTGAACAGTTCATCGCTCGACACCCAGATGTTTTGCTCCCCCACCACAGGGAACCACACCGCAAGTTCGTCGAGCGGCTCCAGCGTGATTTCCTCGTCCATGGGGCGGTCAATTTCTATGAGGTGGGTGAGATGCGCACTCGCAACGAGTCGATCGCCCAGAAGTCCGGTTTGAGTAAAAATGCGGAAGACCTCCTGAAAGTGGTTCAGGTTGATCAACCAGTTCACGCAGCCTCCGAAGCCCAAGTGATGGACAAACTGCACGCCTTCTTTGTCGCTCTCGAATATCTCAACATTTGTGAGTTCTCATACAAAGCGGGCCCCTTGCAGTATTTGTCAGACTTGGAGGAGTGGCGGCATGAGAACAGGGGGCTCGCCTTGTTGCTGGCCGCTGACACCCTGATCAGGAAGAAGGTCTACCGTTTGAACTCAGATCACAAGCAGACTTACCAGTCCTTTTCGTCCGCTTTGGTTGAAGTGCTCAAGAACCACAAGCAACTCTGGAATGACGCTCGTTCGAGCGCGGAGCTGGACAAGTTCAAGCAAGCAGGACAGTCCTCCAGCCCGGTCACTCCACCACGTGGTCAGGGCACAAAGAGACAGCGCTCGCGGACTCCGCCGGCTCCGACGGCCAAGGCTAAGAAGAACAAAGCCCGCCGAGAGCGGGCCAAGGAACAGCTCCGGTCCCTCAAAGCGGCTCGACAGGTGCTCGCAAAGACAAGCCGAACGGCCCCAAGCCGTCTCGTGATGCCCGGATCCCGGCCGAGGAGTGGACCAAGGTCAATTCCTTCAAGTACTCAGGTCCACGCCGTTGTCCTTTCTACAATTGCTCAAGTGGTTGTCGTTTTGGTGATCAGTGCAAGCACAAGCACGCCTGTGTTGAGTGTGGCCAAGGCCACCCTTGGCACGGGAACCACTGAACGCTCGGGCAGCCCCCCCTGGAGGACCTTGCCCCACCTCCGGGGGATTTTCATGGGGGCCAAGCGGCTGAGTCGCCTCCAGTGGCTCAGCCGTGGCGGGCGTGGTCTGAGGTCCCTCTTCGGCTCCAAGATGTACGTGTTCACGGACCCTTCTTTCTGGAAGTTTTCTCTGGAACCGCTCGGCTGACACAACACGTTTTTCTCCTGGGTATGCCGGTCCTGCCCGGTGGATGTTGAGCTCTCTGAATGGGTGCCTGAGATTGCCGATGTCCTTGACGCACAGTTCTGGCAGCGGATCATGAAGCTTGCTCATGCGGGTCTGTTGTTCTTTGTGCACTTGGGCACGCCGTGCAATACCTTTAGCTCTGCCCGGAAGCTCGACAATGGACCACCTCCCTTACGCTCCAAGGACAAGCCTATGGGACTTGGAACTCTGTCGCTCGACAATGCTGCATTGGTGTTTCTAGGCAATATGTTTCTGGCTCGCTCGGTCGAACTGGCTCTCGTGGTCTTCTTCACGGGGGGCGACTTCTCCATCGAGAATCCTCTGCTCAGCTTGATCTGGCTCACCCCGCCGATGCGCCACCTGACCAGCTCGGCTCGTGCGATCGACTTGGACCTGGACCAATGCATTTTCGGTGCTCCTTCTGTGAAACCCACTCGTTTGAAGGTTTCTTCGGAGTTCCTGGACGACGCTCGGAAAACTTGCCCGGGTGACCACTCTCATGTGCGCCTAAAAGGGCAAGTATGGGACGATCGTCGACAACGCATGGTGTTTCGCACCAAGCTGGCGCAAGAATACCCTCACGCTCTGTGCGGCGTCCTGGCCCTCGGCATTCACCGGCTCTGGAAACAAGATGATGCTCACTTGGGAACGACGTTCGCGTTGACGACCCCTGCTGCCGATCGGAAACGAGAATTGGTTCTGGACGCCCGTGGATGGGTCATCGTCAAGCACAGACCGCACAAGCGGCCCTGCGTGCAGGGTATCAGCTCAAGCGTGGTGCTCAGAAGCCGCTCCTCGAGATCGAGATGGAGCCGGGACAAGCAATCCATTGGGCTCTGCGCGTGACGCACCCGTTCACTCTGCCAGTTGTTTTGGAGCCGGCGATCGCGGCTAGCATTGACAGCTTGGTTTCTAACGTGTCGGAGGTTGTTCACCTACGTCTTCAAGCTCTGCAGTTCTGGGAAGCTGAAGCTCACCGTCTGTTGCCGGCGTCGCTCCGGCTGATCGACGCCCAGCCTGATCCCTACCTACGTCGACTGCTCAAAGGGTGCGGTGATGATCAGACACCAGTGTTGGGACAAGTCTGCCATGTAGCTCTATATGACGCCATGCTCCAAGCCTGCAATTCGTGCGATCGCACCCTGCCCAATGATCTGGTCCACGGGTTCAACATCGTGGGGCCCATTGCTTGTTCAACTCGGTGGCCACCTTACGATAAGCCACAGAAGGTAGTCCCAGTGGACGTTGCTCTGGGTCGGGCCTGGGAGTTGCGCAAGAAAATTGTGTCTGTCACTGACAATCTCAAGAAGATCTGGGAGGCCACTCTGGAAGACTGCCAGGAAGGGTCATGTGTGGGACCCTGGGCTTCCGAAGTCCTTCCTGCAGTGTGATGACTGGATCCCTACACAAAGGTTTGAGGTGGTGCAGAAGAACAAGGTCAGAGGTTGTGACAGTGCCACAACAAATTTGATCAATCAAATCACTGAGATCTCAAAGAAACTGCAGCTCCCCTCCACTGACACCAACGTGGCGGCCTTGAGGAGGCTCCGCTCGGAGTTGCCAGAGGATGAGCTTGGCGGTTGGGTCTTGGACGAGAGGAAGGCGTATCGTCAAGTCGCCATTCGCCCTGATCAGAGAAAGTTTTCAGTGATTTGTTTGAAGAACCCTGAAACTGATCAGCCTGCGTTTTTCGTCATGATCGGTCACTCGTTCGGGTTAGTGTCGGCGGTCTATAACTACAATCGACGGTCGGCTGCTATCAACGAATTTCTGGTTAAACTGTTTAAGCTCGTAGCCTTTAGTTTTTACGATGACAAGTATGGGTTTGAACCGCTCGGCTCAGTGAAGAGTGCTCGCTTAGCAGCTGAATGTGTTCACACCTGGCTCGGAGCTCATTTTGACCAGAAGAAATTGCAGCTGTCCTCGTCCCCGACGATCCTGGGGGTGACCTACAACTTGAGTGAAATGCAGCTCGAAATTAAGCCGATCGGCGGAGTGATTTGACCGCAGAGATCCAGGGCATTTTAAGCTCAGACGTGTTAGACCCGGGGACAGCTGGGAAGCTCAAAGGAAAACTTATGTTCGGGGCCTCCCAGCTCTGGGGCAAGGTAGGTAGAGCCTTTTTGAGAGTGATCTCGGAACGTCAGTATATGCGTCTGCCGCTCGGTCCGAAATTCGGTCTTGATCCACCTTTAAGGGAGGCTCTCAAACAGTGGCTTGTCTTGATCGAAGCCGGCCCCCCCAGGACGATCGATCGACAAATTTCGAAGCGTGCAGATGTTGTAATTTTTACTGATGGTTTCACCCCTGATCCTCGTGAGGCTCTCGCCACTCGCCTCCCTGACCGAGTCGGGGCGGTGCTGTTCGATCGCAGACTGACCAAACCCCGCCAGTTCTCCGAAGTGATTCCCTTGAGTACTTCAAGAAAGTGGCTCCACAGATCAACCCAAATCATCCCGATCGAGATGATGGCGCCATTGCTCGCACTGGAAACGTTCGCCGATCGCCTCGTAAACGCGGATGTTATTTTGTTGATCGACTCTGAAGCTGTTGAAGCAGCCCTGATCAAGGGCTATTCGAGCAGATCAGATGTCTGTGAGATCATATCTATATTTTGGGAACGTGCACTGCGGCTCCGCTGTAGGATCTTTATCGATCGAGTCTCGACGGACGCAAACCCCGCAGACTGGCCGTCGCGGAATGATCTGAACAGAGGCCAGGAGGCGGGGTGGTGTACGGTTCCTGCAGAGTGGCCAAAGTGTTTCATGTTCTCGTAGGGCCTGGGGAGAGGATCCTTGATCTGTTGACTGGGTAGTTCCTCCTGCAGATGTTCATCTGACTGTTTGGGTGT